TTAAATTCTGAAATCAGACAGGCCGACTTATTCACGGTAACGCAATGCTGACCTGCTAGCCTACTATAGGCTATTATTTTTCCCCACTTAATAATTTTCTTGTTATAACTGGATTTTTTTAAGACATATTTTCCTCATTAAGACAACGTATTTCTCATATAAGGGCCGATTATAGACTATATATTTATTTTTTGTAAGCATGTTTTACATGAAACAACCTTTATTTGAGCATTACATGCAAGCATTAGGTTGCTTTACCGAACACTTTTCTAAAAAGAAGGTTTTAATATTGTTGAAATCATAATACTTCTACTTCTCGAAGTTTAATCACGAGTCATTTCAAGTGAGGGAGGCATTAATACAGTTGTTCGTTACGCACATTTCAATAACTCATAGTATTTGAAAATAAAAATGAACAATGAATTTAATCTGAAAGGAGGCATGATGCGCAAACACCCTGATAACCATCCAGTGTCTTTTAAAAACGGACTATCACTAAAGCTTGCAGATGAGTTGCGTGTGTGCGTAATCACCCCGCTACAGTGGGTCTATCCATAATTTCACATAGCCATGTGCAAATATAGCACTATAACTATAACATGGAGAGATGAGCAATGATTCCAAACGAATGTCCAGTGTTGGTGTCACTCCTAAAGAGGAAGTGATTTCAACAATAAACTTTATTTTCAGAAAACTGTTCAGCAATGCAAATAATGCAAATATCATCAATTATGTTGTTACATATAGCCGGCTTCAATGAGGAAAATATGTATTAACAAAATCCTGTTATCGCAAGAAACTTTTTTTTTTACTTTATTAAGTGAAAAAATAATAGCCTATAGTAGGCTAGCAGGTCAGCATTGCGAAACCGTGAATGAATCAGCCTATCTGGTTTTAGAGTATAAAAAAACAAGACTTTATCCGTTTTTGTTTTTTGGTGATTTTATTTTTTGTTATTGGAAATAAAAAATGAAAATCAAATCGTTTTTGAATTTTGCTTTTCCGTTTTTCATTATAAAAAAGAACAACGAGCCGTTTTTTTTTCGTTTTAAAACTCAAAAAACAAAATAAAAAAAACGACTTGTTTTTTTGTTTTTCAATATCCGTTTGTAAAATAAAAGTCCACTGACAACAACATACACTGACCGCAAATAACAAAGGAGCAAATGATTCTTTCAGCAACCCAAAACATGAACAAACTCCCATGTTCTCCCATCATTATTTTGCAGTTATAATCAAATCCTGTTCTTAGAACAGTTAGTAATGTACATGTATACACAAGTGTTTATCCGGGAGATTTTATCCGGGGGTGCGCACAAAGTGAAGAACAAAAGGGGGGTTGGGGGGGTTGTACCGGGCTAGGATTGTGCTTGTAGTGAAGAGTGGGTATGAAGATGGTTGTGCGGTGGATTCGGTGCGCATGCGGACTGAACCAAAAAGTTTGGTGGGTGGGGTTAGGGGGGGGGGGGGGGTGATTGTTGGCAGGTATAGTTGACTGAAACTTTCTATCATACACCATTGGTACCCTTTTGGCAGTGGAAACGTACCGACAGATACTGTACAGCTCAGTAGAAACGGACATCACTGAACCCCAGATTTTATAAAACCTTTCAAGTTACAAACATAAATATCAATAACATGTCATTTGATTTGAACACAGTGCATGAGCAAATCTTTATTTGGGGGTCTGCCAGCCAATTCACTTAAGATCTTACAATATGTTCAAAACTCAGCCGCACGTGTGTTAACTCACACATCATCTCGCACTCACATTACTACTGTTCTTCAGCAGTTACACTGGTTGCCTGTAAAGTCACGCATCGATTTTAAAACCTTGATTTTAACTTACAAAGCTGTTCATGGTTCTGCACCTGATTATATATGTGACCTGATATCAACCTCCTCATCCTCTCGCAATCTACGTTCTGCTTCGGGGCTCACCTTGTATCAGCCCCGTTGCAAACTTAGCAGCATGGGAGGCAGGGCATTCTATTATCGTGCACCTAAATTGGGGAATGCTCTCCCCACAAACATCAGAAACGCCAGTTCCCTGGACTTTTTTAAGAAACTTCCTAAAACTCATATTTTTATTATTGCTTATAACTTATGAGGCTTTTTTTTAAATATGTATTTTTATCATTATTATCATTCTTACTTTTTTGTGTATTTCATGTTCTTCTGTGTGTTGATGCTCTTGTTAGCGCTTTGAGTTTGAGAAAAGCGCAATATAACTAAAATGTATTATTATTATTATAGCGATGCCTCATGTAGCAGATACCCCTAAATGAAATGACAGTTTAGATTTGTCACGAATCAGGCCCACAAACTAAAGTGAAACACATAAGGTGAAATATTAATACATATACCAAGGTTAATTAATTCAACGCATGAAGACACCTTTCATAACAAACCTCTGAATACATTATATGAGCCCATTTGTAGTCAAAGTGTCAAAATTAATTCATCCCAGCATGTAGAAAGCACCTGTTTATTTGATGTAACCACCGCAATTCTGCTAGAATAAAACACACAATGCACTTTTATGAATCATTCAGTCATTTGGGTGTGTGTAGTGCTTAAAGCAGCGGCAGGCCTCATTTGCATACAGTAAATGCGAGAAAAATATAATATTTAAATGAGCTGAATGCACATAATAAGGCTAAATACATTCGATTCTGGGCATAAATAAGCTCAATTATACAAAATACCTCATTGTTACATACAAAAGGAACAGCAGGGGTGCACTTGTGTTACTCCGAGTTCTTGTAGTTGGTGAAAAGATTGTAGAGCACCCGGAGTGTCGACTTCAGATTCAAGTTCACCACGTCTGCAGGACACAAACAACAGGCGGAGGCTTGAGCATGTTGTCACTGTGAAGGGACTCGGTGTGTGTAATGAGAGTCGTGAGCTGAAGCTACAGTGTGCTGTATTGAGGAACATCTCCATCTAGTGGATGACCTGAGGTTAGTTACAGTGGGGGAAATAAGTCTTGAACACATCGCCATTTGTGTCAGATATTTCTAAAGCAGTGGTGTAGTCGGGGCTATGTGTATACGTATACTCCATATAATTACTTTTGTCCTTGAGCTGTTTAGGTATTACATCTTCTGAGGATAGATAAGTGAAGTTTTATTTATTAAACTAATTTTGAGAGGAGTCGCGCTCATGTTTAACCCAGCTGGCTCATATTAGCTAATAACGATCCTCCAATCAATGATAGCGAGTTCCTATAAATATCCTCCTTTTCCCACTTACAACTATCTTCGGCTGTTTCTCAATGCGTTCTTCAGCGGTCTTGCGTCCTCGTGTTCTCGTGAAACGCCATCATCAGCTGCCTAAGTTCAGTTCCAATACTCAAGACCGCAAGCACGGAGGACGCGTGAAACTTCCCGGATGTGTTCTTGATATCGAGGGTGCACAGATGCAGACTTGAGCACCGAACTCGCTCTGGAAGTCCCAGAAGTCATTGCGACTGGAGGTGGGAAGCGCTGCATTTTATCTAGATTACTTATTAAAGTTCATAGATATTTACCTCAGGAGTTTTCCTAAATGAAACGGTGAAAGTAAACATTACCATGGACATCTTAATAATGGAATAAACACATTAAGGGTGTTTGTTTGCTGAAATTTGTATTAAAATCTGTTCTATTTATATTGTGCAACATATATTTATAATGTTTTTATGCAAAGTATATATTTTGAAAAGGGGAAAAACAATAAATCGTTGTATGAAGGCTGTAATGTTTAAATAATTTACCATTTAAAACATGTAAAGGTCATCGAACCATCAAGAAGAACGCAGCATCTTAATTCTCAAAGGACGCGTTCTCTGCTCTCGCGGCCGCCTGAGTTCGTTCTTCCGAGGACACCTGGCAAGACCGGTCTCCACAAGAACACAAGTCCGTTCTCTGCGTTCTTGGAATTGAGAAACAGCCTTCGTCTTGAAGAAACCCCCCTCCTCCCCCTTCTTCCACCTTTATGCAAAATAGGTGGCTCGGCGGCCCAGCAACCAGCAGGAATTCCATTGGCTCTGGCTCCTTACCTGAGCTTCTGGTGTCTCTGCGTGGAGCTGGCACGTTTCACCGGTGTTTCAGTTCTCTCCCAAAGCCTAAATGCGCTCTGCATTATAGACCTCTTAAACCTGAGTCTCTTTTACTAGTCGTCTCGCTCTCAGGAAGTTCACCTTAGCCTTAGCTGCGGGGAAGTTTGAGATCGCCCTGAGCTCAATCTCCCCTTGCCTCACAAAGGGAGGGAGCCCTGGACTCGAGGATCCTTTGAGCTCAGGGCTCACTCCCAGGACAGCATGCCAAATAAGCTTTCGTAAATCATGAGCTAAGTGTGAACTCTTGAATTGCGTGTACCCTCGGTATAGTCCCTTGTTTTGCTGATTAGACGTCCCTAATTTACATGTATTTGCGTCCCCTTTAACTGCATGTCAAATGTTTTTTTTTTGACTCGAGTCTTAATTTGTTGCAATTGGTGCTTTTTTGCAATAGTATGATCATCGCTCTATTCCCCGCCCCCTGACGACCACAGCAGCTGTGAGAAGTTTTCATTAGAGTTTTTCAAAGACGACAGGTCAACTGAATGATGTCTCGCTAAAACATTCAGGTAAGGTTATAAAACACTTTAGACCTCTATATTTCTGTTTCTTTGCCTACTTTCATTTAAAATGTGGGTTGGGTGGGTAAAAGTACACCACTTTTTTAGGACTACACCACTGTTCTAAAGGACTTGAAATGTTCACAGGATGTTGATGGCTAACAAAGAAATCTATATATGCACAGAAAACAAATCTAATAAGCTTCCAAATGAAGTTCTGTGTAATAAAATGAAATGGCAAAGGAAAAAAGTATTGAACACATGAAGAAAGGGAGATGTAGAAAGGCAGTGAAAGCCCAGACAGCAGCTGAAATCTCAGTAGTTCTTCAGCAACTCTCTGCCCTTCGTCAGTGTAAATTAATTTCAGCTGTTTCAGTCCAACATCTACATAAGCAGGAGGATGAAGATGGACATTTCAGCAAGACAATGACTCTCAAATGCTTTCAGAGAAAGAAAATCAAGCTGTAGAATGGCCCAGCCAATCACCTGACCCGAATCCAATAGAAAACACAAGGTAAAGACCAAATTTGACAGACGAGACCCACAGAACCATCAAGATTTTGACACTCTGTTGAAGTCTGTGGAAAACTTACACCTGAGCAATGCATGAGACTTCATTCTCCATATGAGAGGCGTCTTTTAAGTTGCCATCAGCTGCTTCAGTCCAACATCTACATTAACAGGAGGATGAAGATGAAACCATTTCAGCAAGAAAATAACCTAAAACACAGCCAAGGAAACTCTCAAATCCTTTCAGAAAGACAAAATCAAGCTGTAGGATGGCCCAGCCAATCACCTGACTGGAATGCAGTAGAAAATACAAATTAAAGATCAGATTTGACAGACGAGACCCACAGAATCATCAAGATTTTTACACTGTTGAAGTCTGTGAGAAACCCACACCTGAGCAATGCATGTGACTTCATTCTTCATGTGAGAGGCGCCATCACCAAAAAAGCCTTTTATATAAAGTATTAAACACATTTCAGTAGTTCAGCGCTTTCTTCTTGTGTCACTCAATTGTTATTACACAGATTTTCCGACCTGATTGTTTTATTTTATTTTTATGTTTGTATTGTTTGGGTTTTTACCAGAATTTGGTTTAATTCAATGTCAACAGCTCCTTTAGAAATATTATTCCCAAGAAAAACCATGATATATCTAATACTTATTTCTCCCACTGTATGTTTTGTTATCTGAAGGTTGAGTGTGTAACGCTGATGTAACATTGCTGGCACTGATTTGTTTTGGTACCTTCTGGTCGAGCTTTGGGTTTCTGTAATCCACCATCCTGCATCAGCTCAAATGCAAATGCCACATTGTGCACCTACAAGACAGAAAAACACTCCAGTAATCCTCTGCATTGCTAGAAATCAGACCAAAACTCTGTTCTGGATTGTTTCATATAGAAAAGCTTAGGTAAATGGCAATTTAGAGAGTAGGTTATACAGTTTTTAGAACGTTCTAATATATTGTTAAAAGTCCTCTATGACTACACTGCCTGGCAAAAGTCTTGTCGCCTATCCTAATTTAGAAACAATAATAACAACTTGACTTCTAGTTGATCATTTGGTATCAGAAGTGGCTTATATGAAAGGCAAATGCCTCTAGATTACGCTTATTTCACCAAAATAAAATATGATCATGCCTTGATTATTAATTATTTAATTATGACAGTACGGTCTGACTTTGCTTAGACAAAAGTCTCGTCTCTTAACAGCAATAATGTCCAGTAAAGAATATAAAGTCCTGCTGCAGTGGAAACAGAATGAATATTGTGTCTGACTCCATCATGAGCTTGGAGGACTGCATCCATACATCTCTGACATGACTCAAATCACTTATTAATAAAGTCATCTGGAATGGCAAAAAAAGAGTTCTTGGATAAACTTAACGTAATGTTTAATGTTTTTGGATTCATCTGCCTCCTACTCCATCTTACCCAAGACATGCTCAATAATGTTCATGTCTGGTGACTGGGCTGGCCAATCTTGCAGCACCTTGACCTTCTTTGCTTTCAGGAACTCTGATGTGGAGGCTGAAGTATGAGAAGGAGCGCTATCCTGCTGAAGAATTTGCCCTCTCCTGTGGTTTGTAATGTAATGGGCAGCACAATTGTCTTGATACCTCAGGCTGTTGATGTTGCAGATCTCTCACACACCCTCATACTGAATGTGACCCCAAACCATGATTTTTCCTTCACCAAACTTGACTGATTTCTGTGAGAATCTTGGGTCCATGCGAGTTCCAGGGGTCTTCTGCAGTATTTGTGATGATTGGGATGCAGCTCAAGAGATGATTCATTGGAAAAATTGACCTTCTGCCACTTTTCCAACTAGAAGTAAAGTTATTGTTTGTTGCTCTTACAACTCGGATCGACGACAAGACTTTTGTCAGGTAGTTTACATGCATCTAAGTTCAGAAAACATTGTAATTTTAGCAGAATAATTAGTAAGTATTGGTATTATTTTGTAATGAATATAAAACAGTTGGTTTGAATTAATTCAGTGCTTAGGTTCTATAAGCCCCTCCCCCTTTCATAAGCCAACTCTGCTCTGATTGGTCAGCTGGCCAAGTTTGTTTTGATTGGTCTTTACATGTCAGAAATAAACGAATATAAAGTGCATCTATGCTGCGGGAAGCGGGATTATGCAAATGTTTATGCTGATGTAGATCAGTAGCAGGGCCAAATATTCCTAATATAACGACTCGAGAAGGTGATTCAGAGTTGACTCTTTCCTTTGAGAGATAATACCTTAATTTATCAACCCAAAACCCATATGATCTGCTCTTTAATGCCGTAAGAATGACAAAAAAATCTGGCAGTAAATTGAAGTCCGTTGATTTTATGAATACAACTGAAATAGTATCAGATCTTTCCAAACAAATCAAGCTTCATTATTCATTAGACCCCAAGAAACATCTACATATATTTAAATGTCTCACTCACCTTCTGCTCAAAGTTTTCGGGCGTGAGGTAGAAGTTGTACAGCGGCACAAAGTAATTTTCCAACAGTCCCATCAGCAACACCAAATACACACCATCTGCAAACTTCACATACACACTTGGAGGCTTAGAAACAGCTGTTTATCAATATCTATATAATATATATATATATACGACAGACAGACAGATCGGACGGACGGACGGACAGACAGACAGATAGATTAAATTCATACCTGTGTTTCCAACTCTGTCACCTCCAGGTTTAGTTTGTTCAAGTGTTTATTCACAAATGTGATCAGCGACTGAAAAAGAATAATTATTGCAGGTTAAATCTGAATAATCATTCTCATCATCACACATGCAGTCTGAACTGATTCTTACCGTTTTCACTACATTAAGTTTATCAGGCGCATGATCCAATAAGGTGTCAAAAGCATCACGTTCTGCAAACAAAAAATATAATAAAAATAGAGACATATCTAAAACAAACAACTAGAAAATACATGCGATACTATATACACTTAGCGGTCACTTTATTAGGTACACCTGTCCAACTGCTCGTTAACGCAAATTTCTAAACAGCCAATCACATACCAGCACCTCAATGCATTTAGGCATGTACAGCCTGATCTCACGAGAAAACGTAAGTATTTTACGTTTAGCCAGTTTAGTGGCTTATTCGTACGAATTCGCATGAGTTCAGTCGTACGAAATTGTACGATTTTAAAAAGGAGGCGTGGCACCCAACCCCACCCCTAAACCCAACCGTCATTGGGGGATGAGCAAATCGAACTAAATTGTACGAATTAGATTGTACAAATTCATTCGAATTAGCCACTAAATCAAAAAGTTACGAATTGCCGTGAGATTGTATTGGCATGTAGGCATGGTCAAGACGATCTACTGCAGTTCAAACCGAGCATCAGAATGGGGAAGAGAGGTGATTTAAGAGACTTTAAATGTGGCATGGTTGTTGGTGCCAGACAGGCTGGTCTGAGTTTTTCAGAAACTGCTGATCTACTGAGATTTTCATGCACAATCATCTCTAGGGATTACAGAGAATGGTCTGAAAAAGAGAAAATATCCAGTGAGCGGCAGTTCTGTGGGCGCAAATGTCTTGTTGATGTGAGAGGTCAGAGGAGAATGGCCAGACTGGTTCAGTAACTCAAATAAGCACTCGTTGCAACCGAGGTCTGCAGAAGAGCATCTCTGAACACACAAAACGTCCGACCTTGAGGCAGATGGGCTACAGCAGCAGAAGACCACACCGGGTGAGACTCCTGTCAGCTAAGAACAGGAAACTGAGGCTACAATTCACACACGCTCACCAAAATTAGAAGGTAGGAGATTGGAAAAATCATGCCTGGTCTGATGATTTCTGCTGCCACATTCAGATGGTCAGGTCAGAATTTGGCATCAACAACATAAGAGCATGGATCCATTCTGCCTATCAACAGTTCAGGCTGGCCATGGTGGTGTAATGGTGTGGGGGATATTTTCTTGGCATACTTTGGGCTCATTAGTACCAACTGATCATCATGTCAACGCCACAGCCTGCCTGAGAGTATTGTTGCGGACCATCCCTTTATAACCACAGTGTACCTATCTTCTGATGGCTACTTCCAGCAGGATAACGCACCATGTCAAAGCGTGAATCATCTCAGACTGGTTTCTTGAACATGACAATGAGTTCACTGTACTGAAATGGCCTCCACAGTCACCAGATCTCAATCCAATAGAGCACCTTTGGGATGTGGTGGAACGGGCATCTGCGTGATGCTGTCATGTCAATATGAAGCAAAACCTCTGAGGAATATTTCCATTATCTTGTTGAATCTATGCCACGAAGGATTAAGGTCGTTCTGAAGGCCAAAGGGGGTCCAACCCGGTACTAATAAGGTGTACCTAACAAAGTGGCCAGTGAGTGTACATATATAAATATGTACGTACTGATTAAAGGTGCTTTCACACCTGTGAATCGATTCAGTTGTTCCGAAACAGAGATTACAATTGTTACATTGTTGCTCTTTGCTCTTGGAGCGGTTCGCTTTCACACTGCAAAGTTTCTAATCGGACCAAAAGAGCTAAAACAAGTCACGTGTGAGTAAACTCTCCTCACATTGGTCAGAGTGTCAGGGTTTATTTTGCAGCGTCCCGCTTAGCTGTCAGGAGAGGTGGTGGTTTGGTGGTGATTGACAGGGTGCGCGCGCGATGTGTCTGAGGAGAGATACGGTGGGGAGGGGTGAGAAGGGTGCGCGACGATGCCTATTTGAGGACCGGGAGGGAGACACGAGATTACCGGGAGATCATCACTCGTTTGCGGGCATCCGGAGACTCACGAAACTTCCCGCCATACTCATAATTCTCTCCTCATATAGCCGTATGCCTATTACATATCCATAAAACACTGTGATATAACCGCGCTCGGATCGAATCGCTTTCTCACTGCAATCGAACCGCTCCAGGGTTCGTTTCAATCGAGCCGAGACCACCTCATTCAGGCGATCTCGGAGCGATTACTTTGGCGCGGAACAGAACAGAACTTTTGCCCTGTTCACATAAGCCAAACGAACCGCGCTAACTGGGCAAACAAGATACGTTCCGAAACAAAAGTGTAGGTGTGAAAGCACCCTGAAACACTCTACATAACAAAGACTGGATAAGATGATAACAAAAAACTATCATCGTTTTGATATTTACTGCTGTACAGTTCACCCTTTTCACACCTTTCCCTTTTTGATGGTAATGCAGTAACATGCACCTTTTGTGGAGCTGCTTTGGAGCAATACTTATTGTAAAAAGCGCTATACAAAAACACTTAAACTAAATTTAATTGAAACAGGTGATTTGTACATCTAGATTGTTGAGAAGGGGACTTTTTTAACACCGACAGTCATGAGTTTTTTTCCATCTATTGAACCCAAAAGACAATATTTTGCTAACCACTGACTTTCAAAATGAGCAAAATAACATAACAGTCAACCATTCTTCAATATATCTTCTTTATGTTCAACACAAGAAAGAAACTCAGGTTTGAAACAAGTCTAAAATGAGTAAATGATGACAGATGCTTCATATTAGGGTGAACTCTCCCTTTAAGATGCTTTTAATCATCGTCCCAAAAACTTATCTAACCTCTTATTCTAGAATGACCTGCATTTTTTAGTAGGTTATTGAATAAAACCTACACAAAAGTGTGTGAAAACACTCACCTGACCTTCCGATCATCATTCTGTTGGAGCAGTAAATACAAAGTCAGCATCAGGTCACACACGACAACACATATTTATTGTGCTTTAACCGTCATTCGCCACTAGATGGCCATACTGAAGCTTCTTACTCTGTTGTGGTGCTTGTGAGTTGTTTGGTCACATGAGCAGTCTGCAGGATTCCCTCTTTTTTCTGTCACAAACACAAAGGTGTGAGCAGACTGAGGGTATACAGTCACAATGATTCCCCCTCCTGTGATTTTTATTTTTATTTTTTTCAAATATTTCCCAAAGGATGTTTAACAGAGCAAGGACATTTTCACAGTGTGTCTGATAATGTTTTTTCCTCGGGAAGAAATCTTATTTTATTTTGGCTAGAATAAAAGCAGTTTTTAATTTTATTTAAACCATTTAAGGTCAATATTATTAGCCCCCTTAAGCAATACATTTTCCCATCATCTACAGAACAAACTATTGTCAAACTGTTTGTTTAATATGCATTGCATTCTGTTTTGAATTGTATTTCTGTTTCTGTTAAGGACTTTTATTTTGGTGTTGTTTCCTCTGCGGAGGAGGGTTATGGTTAAATTATCTTACCTTGACTACGATCACCTGGACGGACACGTGCTCAGGTAAGCGAATGGGAGCTGCATAGTAAATGGCTAACGCTAGCAGCAGATACACAATGGACACCAGATTCTTGGAGTGGATGGCTGAAAAAGAGATGGAAAATTAACTGGTTTGATGATACATGTCTCTTTAAATGCGAGTGTGTTTTGGCCGCTTACAGTCGACACTCCACTCTGTGTTCCAGTCGAGCGGTCGCAGAACTCCGTTCACTGCCTCCAGAACCGTCTGCAGCTTCTGCTTCTGTCCGATCTCCGACTGCGTCACTTCTGCCACATTCAGCTTATAACCTGACAGCTTCTCTGAAGGACAGCACACAACATCTTCACTTTAAAGTCCGCATTAAGACGCTTACCGTTGGGTATGAGGGAATGATGCGAAAATAAAGCCCCGCCCCCTACTCAATATTCCATTTCAGTTGGAAGTACATCAGCATACTAAAATATAAGTCTCCGAGACTTCCGGTTCACGCTTTAAATGTTGCACAATACAAGTTTACAACAGAGTAGAACTGATATGTAAATCAGACATTGCAATATTTTGTTTTGCTGCGATACATATTGCGATATGAATACAATTTCACCAGATGGCTTGTATATCTATATTTGAAAAGAAATCATTCATTTAGATTGATTGGGGGGATTTTGTAAGGGTGTGAATCGTGTATAAAAAAAATAATAAACAAATTGCAAGCAAAAATAATTACAATAGAGCAAAGAAAAAGCACAAATAAAGAGGTCTTTATGGTTTTCCGAAGAATCAAACAGTATTCAGGTACAGAAATTGAAGAATTAAATGTAAAATAACACCTTAGTCATTACTGTATTAATATTAATCTTCGTTAAAGTTACAAATGTTGTACCTTTTGTGCCTGAATGCCCTTAAAAAACAGATGCAGATGACAAACTTTCAGTCTGTTATTGATATAATTTGCAATGACCTCACAAATCTAATGCATTCTCAGCTGTGGTGGGAATTAATAATCATAACTCAACATTGCAGATCCTGCAATGTGACAATCGTGGATAAACACATTGGTGATATTGATGCTTAAATGATATATTGTGCAGCCAGACAACAGATCAGGATCGACCAATCGTAATCGTCTTACCGAAGAGTTTCTGCAGCACTTGTCCATCGTACAGATCTTCCTCAAGGTCTTTCACGATGATTCGGTCTTCTTCCAGTTCACTGTTGATCCAGTCAATCAGAACCTGACAGGAAAAATGAGAGTGAGTAGAATGCTAATTATGCAAAATAGGTGTGGCTTATTGACCAGAAGCTGGCTCTGATTGGTAAAAGGGGGTGTTCTTTTTCTCAGTGCTGAATGGAATAGACCAATCATGATTATTTGGGTTTACATTTAAAGGGCTGTTTCAGCCAACCCTGCTGAAAAATCCACCTTAAACCAGCCTAGGCTGGTTTAAGCTGGATTTTTCAGCAGGGAAATGAAGCCAGTTCTGAATAGAAAAGTGTTTAGTGTTTCTTTACAAAGAGATATCGCCACCTACTGGCCTGACATGCATAATACAGCATTTTGAGGATCGTTTTGACAACACTGACATCACTTGCAATGCTAAGACTTTTTTAAAACTAGATTAAGATTGTGTAAACATATTGTGAGTGCTGTTATCAAGCATTTTTGCATAATCGCGTATTCATTTTACATTTTTGTTTCATATATCATTCTTTAGTGATTTAAGGTCCTAATATTTTGTATTAATTCAGCTGGAGTGTATTTATAAATGTAAATGTGTTGAAAGGTTTAAATGTGTTATTATTTCATATGTTGTACTTTAAGACATTTATTATGGAAACATGTCACTTTGAGGAAATGACGTGTAATGTGAGTGACTTGTTTATGGATCACCGGATAGACTGCCGATAATCAGACGCATGTCAGTGCTGTGTAAAGTTACATGTGTTTAAGAAGCTTAAAGTTGCTGCTGGCATAAGTCAAAAGGACAGTGAAGAAGAGTTTATTAATCCAAGGACCCTCTTTTCATGACAAGCGACCAACGAGGTATTTGTTTTGCTTATTTAATGTATTAGATAATCGTGGTTTGTGCTCTTATCCGTTTGTACTGTGTTCATTTACTAAAACAGTTCTCACGGCGTCATGGCGACAGCCGCAAAGCACATTATGGACGACCTTAAATAAACGCCCGTTCTGGAGAAACAACCTGTGTCTGTGTGTTGTTGTGAAGAGAGTTACACATATCCTCCAATAGATAGTTGAGGAAAGATGAATTACACTGACCAGCAGTAATAACACAGCTATAATGATTAAATCACACTGAACTGAGCTAAACTGAACTGAACTGAACTTAAACACTAAAACCTGAACCACACTGTTCCAGTTACTATGACCATTTATGTGAAGCTGCTTTGACACAATCTACATTGTAAAAGCGCTATACAAATAAAGCTGAATTGAATTGAATTGAATTATACCTCTAGAGGGCACTGCATGTCAAGCTAAGACTCCCGTTGGTGTTATAACATCTGCAATTTCTCATTTTCTCCACAACATTTAGTTTGGGATGTCAGTGTGTGTTTGCAGAGAGAAAGTAAGTTTTTACCTTCTGCAGGTCTTTGAAATTGAGGTCTTCTCTCGATGTGGGGTCTAGAATGGTCCTCTCTGCATTTTCCTCTGCAAAGATCCACACATAGTTGTTGACACACCGTCATCTCTAAATCAAACAGTGTTGAGTGTGGGTGAATTTCTTCAGCCGTCTGACTCAGAAACGAGAAGTGTCCTCCACACCCAACAGCAGGATAAGATGAGGGAGTAATGCATTGCTTAAGTGCCATCAGCCTCATCTCAGATCTGATTTTCTTAAATTCTTCAATAAAATCAGGCACAACTGAGTCAATAATTGATAATGTGCTGCAGTAAAGATGCATTTTTGTAGGCCAAAACTTAGAAAGCAAGTATTATAAGGCTTGTTTCCTCTAAACGGTAGAGTTCAGCACAGTACAATACACATTTATCTCTGTTTCCACTCTCAGAAGTACTAAAATAGGGAACAGTGCCACTCTTTTGGGAGCCTTTCATAAGGTTGTTGCTAGAAAGGATACAGCTGAGGCTGGAGGTTAATGATAATTTTATATATATTATTTATTAAATTATCCATTAATTGTATTTGATTAACGTCCAACCCTAATCCGAACCCTCACAGTAATGTAAAAACAGTAATTATACAGATTATTATTCATATTATTCATTCATTTTTCTTCGACTTAGTCCCTTTATTCATCAGGGTTCGCCACAGCGGAATGAACCGCCAACCTATCCAACATATTTTTTGCACAGCGGATGCCCTTCCAGCTGCAACCCAGCACAGGGAAAGCATACACAGTCCTTCACACACATACACCAAGGCCAATTTAGCTTATTCAATTCACCTACTGTGCGGCGCATGTGTTTGGATTGTAGGGGAAACCGGAGCACCCGGAAGAAACCCCCACCAACATGGGGAGAATATGCAAACTCCACACAGAAATGCCAACTGGCCTAGCTGGGACTTGAACCAGAAACCTTCCTTCTGTGAGGCAACAGTGCTAACCACTGAGCCACTGTGTCACCCCATTAATTATTAAGTTACCCATTAAACTGTATCTAACCCAACCCTGAATTCACAGTAATGTAAAAATACTTATTATTCTTGTACGGTGTCACATGAGATTCTTTATGATATTCTTTACAATATTGAACACAAAAGAAGATATTTTGAAAAATGCTGAAAACTTGTAACCATTGACTTCCATAATAGGAAAAACAGATGCTATGGAAGACAATGGTTACAGTTATCTTCAAAATATCTTCTTTTAACAGGAAAAAAGCAGTGCATAAAGGGGTCAATGAATAATGTTTCTATTTTTGGGTGAACTATCCCTTTAAAGACACAGCTTTGTAGTTCCTGTTTATTTTGAAAGTGCAGTGACCTCTAGTGGAGGACTAATGTGTTACATTGGTTTAAAGAGCCCATATTATGGGTTTTTTGAAAATTACCTTCCATGTAGTGTGTAACACAGCTCTAAGTGAAGTGAAACATCCAGCTAAGGCTTAAATCTGTAAGTGTACAGTGTTTAAAACAGTTGATTCATCTATAAAAGAGTCGACTCATAGTGCTTCAAACAAGTCGTCTTAATAACGAGTCATTAGGTGTTTCGCTATGACGTGACAACAAAACCAAGTAGTTGCATGCGCAAACCCGGGAGATTTAAAACCTGCGGCTCCGCCCACCAACAAAGAAAAACACACAAACACAAACACGCCGGCTAAATCAATGACTGTAAAAAATATGGACGATGCGACAGCCCTTTTTCCCATTGAACGCCTTGAGGGCAAAACGCCTGCTTGACGGGCACAAACTGTCGCAAAAGACTGCTGAAATTGGAGCCAGACATGCGCAGAAGGATTGTCTGATGGAGCCAGAGGAGGAGCCGCGAAAATGAGCAGAGTCGAGCTTCCAATCAAACGCTTTATGTAAAATCAACTACGCCCCCCCGAACTTCTCAGCATGCGTTTGCTGTCATATCAACACAAATGGATGTAATAACGTTAACAAATATGAGGGTTTTATATATTCAATCGCGCCAGCTCCAGGCCGCAGCGCATAACCTACTCGCGGCGTCGCGGGCTGATTCCGGCTCGCATGCGGCAGCGCCTGCTCGCTCGGCCGCCGCATCTGGCTCGATTGACTTGGGTAGTGAGTCCAGGCATCCGGAGTAGGTCCAGCAGAGGTAACGTTAGTCAGTCTGAGCTCTAAGAGATAAGTCTCCGGCAGGCGAGAATCTAGCCGGAACTGTGTTTTGCTATCTGGGTGGCTAGGCGTGTATCAGCAAACTAATAAAGCCCGAAAAAAGCCCTGAACTTAGCGAATAAACAGTGTTCCACCAGGATCATGTATGTCAGAAACTATAGTTTACTGCTGAACTCAATTTGTCATGGTAAAATAACACAGAAATCGAATAATAACATTTCAGTCTACTTCAGTCTTCTGCCGAAGCTCAGACGCCGCGCTTTGAGAAACTGTCAATCACAGCTGTCAATCACGATGACACGCCCAGCATTAAATTACTGCTAAAAACAAACTGTTTACAAAAATGAAGATCTGCACCTATTTCAGCACAATAACCAGTGCCTTAATCGACCAGAACTATCTTTCGGGACATTTTATTGCAAGTGTAATATTTTTTTTTATTTGGGCTCAAGTCTCCTTCATTAACACGGAGGAGGTGGGCTTTATGACTTGTACTGCAGCCAGCCCCCAGGGGGCGATCTAACGGCCGAAACCTTCACTCAAACGCAGGCTTGCGGCACACTTGGGCTAAATGAAGAGGCAATGTGCAGATAAACATTATTGAGTCTCTACCCAAAGATGAAACCTCAGCCTGAGCAGTTCGAGTGCTTCTGGAAACTACATGCTACAAAGAAGACTTCATCGGCCGTTTGTTAAAGGAATTCAGGATCAGTTAAGAGTACTGATGAACATGTCAGAACCTGGATCCGTTTCTTCCTCCATTCCTCAAGTGTAAGTGCGTGCGATTAAAGTTGTCGTTGACTCTAGCTTGCAAATGTATTTAGTTGTGATTTGTTACTTGTAACCGCGTGTACTGTATCAGGTTAACTCGCTATATTCTCATATCGCGTGTAAAGCCACGTTAAAAACGTGACGCGTGCTACTTTTATATTGCTGAATAGCTGCTGGGTATTTCACTCTGTCTCGTGCTGAAGGCAGTCAGTATCGACCAATCGCAACAGGCTGTCATCGGTCCAATCAGCGCAGATTAGCTTCGCGCTAAGGAGGGGTTTGGGAACAAATGAATCACTGAACGCTTCATACGGGAGTCGCTGGGATAATTAGGTAAAAATAAATGCAGATTATAAGATCATGAAAGTGTTTTTTGACCTGCATGCATATTAGACTGTTGTTGGAGACCCTTACTACCAAAATATGACCCTATTTCATGTATAATATGGGCTCTTTAATGAATGAGAAGGAGCGATAAACGTTACCGAGCAGTGTATCCTCAGGGAGCAGCTCCGGGCTGGTGTGCAGGAGAGGGGCGTTGATGGCGTTTTTGCCCTCTTCCTGGAGGTCACTCACTACAGAGATAAAAGAAGATGAATAAAGATGAATATGTTTAGTAACATGTGCAAGAATAATGCTATAGAAGTCTGTGGTGTAAAGTAACTAACTACAAATACTCAAATTACTGTAACTGAGTAGCTTTTCTCAGAAATTGTCATTTAAAAGTGTGTACTTTCACTTTATTTTAAGTACATTTGATTGCAGTATTGGTACTTTTACTCCACTACTTTCCTCCAACCTGCAGTCACTACTGTGCACAAATCAATACTAGAAGCGTATTGCCATTTCAATTAGTTGATTAGTGTGCAGCAGCAGTTCATCAGATGATTCATGAGTGACTCTCTCTCTTTCTCTCTGTCAGTTGATTACTGTTCATTTATTATGAGTCTGGACCTATAAAGAGCCGTCTCAGTTCCTCTAAGACAGAAATACAGTTATCAGGGACTATCCAAGCATAAGGTATCTGACGATAACAGAAAGAGTTCCTCCTGTGTGCTTCACACCACACTGACACACACACATACTACTGTTACAAAGATATGAACATGTACATTCAATCAGGGATGCAACAAATTTAAGCAAAACAACATTTATGGTCCTGTCGTACACCCAGCACAAAAAGGCGCAGGACCTGTTTGCCCCGACGTGTTGCTATTTTCAGACCAATGCAACATTAATTATCCCGTTTTCCACCAAGTTGTTTAAATAGAAAATACATTGCCGCCACTTTGTGGACTCATACTAAAATAGTTTGAAAATTTGCTTTTGTATAATGTTATTATTAGTATTATTATTATTTATTATTTGCATATACTGTATATATATTTGTTTTATTAAAAACAAGCTGGTTTTGGACCATATGGGGCACAGCATGTGTATTAAGCTATAACTCAGTTTTTTGAGCACACTTCGTAATTATTGCTCATTTGTTAGTGTGCTGGAAATTAGAACTGAATTTAGCAATAGTTTTGAAACAAATCTGCGCATAACAAATTAAATTAATTAAGTATAGGCTAATGCATGTCTGTGCATACAACACGTTTCCCTATCTACGGAAGAGGCTCATTCTTTATCCTCTTACTGCAGATGCTGTTTAACTGTTTTGTCACTAGTGAAGCGGTTACTTACAAAGTCCGCCATGTAAATAGCAAATACGCCATGGCATGATGCAACTGACTCTTAAAGGGAATAGGAGATGAGACTCTGATTGATTTATTCTCAAAACACACCATAGCTTTATCCCTGTTAGACCATGTGATGTGGCGCAGAGCGCTTTTTTCCAACCTTAAGATAGCGAAAGCGGATTCAGATACATCCTTAATACTTTTGCGCCCTGCACTTTAGACTTTATTTTAGATTGTTAAAATAAGTTTTGCAATAAATGCTTTCAAACTTTCTGGTCAGGATTAAAAGAGATCCACAAAAATATGGATCTCTTTTAATATATATAAATACACACACACACACACACACACACACACACACATATATATATATATATATATATATATATATATATATATATATAATAAAAATAATAATAATAATAAATTACATTTTAAATAATATATACAGTGGAGGAAATATGTATTAAACATGTCACTATTTTTCCTCAGAAAACTTATTTTTAAAGGTGCTGCTGACTTGAAATTGTTGGTAACAACCAAAGAAATACATATATGCAAAGTTCTGTGTAATAAAGTGAATTGACACAGGTGAAAAGTATTGAACACATAAAGAAAGGGAGGTGTGAAATGGTAGGTAGTGAAAGCCCAGGCAGCAGCTGAAATCCCTCAGTGGTTCTTCAGCAACCCTCTGCCCTTCGTCAGTGTAAATTAATTTCAGCTGTTTCAGTCCAACATCTACATTAGCAGGAGGATGAAGATGGACATTTCAGCAAGACCATGACTCTCAAATGCTTTCAGAGAAAGAAAATCAAGCTGTAGAATGGCCCAGCCAATCACCTGACCCGAATCCAATAGAAAACACAAGGTAAAGACCAAATTTGACAGACGAGACCCACAGAATCATCAAGATGACTCTGTTGAAGTCTGTGAGAAACTCACACCTGAGCAATGCACGTGACTTCATTCTCCATATGAGAGGCGTCTTTAAAGCTGCCATTACCAAACAAACCTTTTATATAACGTATTAAACACATTTCAGTAGTTCAGTTCATGTTTTTACTGCTTGTCTGATCAAATAAAGGCAAATAAAGGCGAAACAAAATCTTATTAGCCCAAACTTTTGAACAGTAGTGTACAGTACATACAGAAATATACAAACTAACCAAACCAAAATTTAAATCTTCAGTGAAATAAAGTTGAATTCAGCATATATACTGCCATTATTTTATCATCATTTTAATTTTTTGACATGACTTAATTACAGCAATTGACAAGATTTTAAATAGCTCACTAGTATTTGACATGCTATTATATCTTAAGTGGGAAACGGTGTCTATAAAAGTACATTGCGAGCTAAACCCATCAGTCATTCATGTTCTCAGCCCCCCACCTCTCGTATAAACATTTAAAGCCCAGCGGGCCGATTCTTCATCCTCCCCACAGATCTGCAGCACATCTCGCGCCCAATCTGCATTTCCTGCAAGATTACGCTTCTGCTTCTCATCATAATTGTGCATTTCCCTTCTCGGCCACCATCAAACCTTTGAGGCTCAAACAAAATCCCTTACAAATCCTGCCATTTATAGTAATCAATGCTAATATTGTTGTATTAGCAAGAAAAAAAGCAGATCTTCACCAATAAATACATGCATTGCTGAAAGAAATATTTGTAAAAAAAAAAATACAAACTAATTTGTAATTATTAATCATTATTCTGTCATTTTATAATTATAATTCTATCATTTTAATAATTATATTCTGTAATTGTTATAATAAAACTTTTATAATTATTCTAATTTTAGTTTTACGCTAATAAACTCCTAAGAGTTTGTCATTGTCATTTCCTAATAGTAATTTTCAACACCATAAACATTAACATTTTAACACTGCAAACATTATTTAACATTAACTGATTATTAATAACAGTTTCAATCTAATAAACAGAATAAATACTATGATATGTAATAATGATGTTAATGACTCAATATATATATAGAGAGAGTGAAATAAATGCATTGCTCATGATGTCACATATCCATAATGTTAATCCGATGTGTGTATTTTTTTAAAATTTACTAACATTAGGAGTAATTAAATTAAATTAAATAATTAAATTTAAATTAAAGTAATTAAATTAAATACAATTAAATCCCTCCATCATATATTTTACACTAACACGCTATTTAAAAAGCCATTTACTAAATGCTAACCAGTGAACAAACTGTACCAGTCCTCTTGCACCACACAGACCATAACCAAACCAATCCATAAACACAATAATATTTAATATGAATGTTTCAGTGTGTCATTCTAAAAAGCATACATGCTCACTAATAATATATATTTTACGTTACATCAAATTTATATTGCATAAATCTTATAATGTTGACAACTTTGCATTATTTTTAACTGTGATATATTAAACTGCTCCACAAACCAATCAACAACGCATGTCTGCCGTGCACCAAACAGTGTAAAGTCTACCTTGCTTTCTTTTCTTGGTTCCACATAGTAGTCCAGCCATGTCCTGTTAAACACCACTGAATCCTAATGCTAATGTCCCTGCAGTGAGTGAGAGTGTGTGTGTGTGTGTGTGTGAGGCCGCCAGTGTGGCTATAGCAGTCGTCATCACGTGTTATTTCTGTCCCTCTGATCCTCCACCCTCGCTGCTCCTGTTTCAATGAGTAGGAGAGCGCAAACTGTGACATCACACTTCACGATGAGGAACCAATCACAACAGCCCTGGACCGCATCAGCCAAATAGGAACTTTTCGGTCACAAACTATAACAAAACAACTTGTCAAAATTAAAATAAAACAATGAAACCCTGAAAAGAGAACGTGCTTTTATTATCAGCTGTCAGTCAGCGCCCGCCCTTTTTTTCTGTCCTTGTGCCTTCAAAAACAAACAAAATCTGAATTGACCATCAAGATCTGTATGTAAATGCAGCCTAAATCTAACGAATAAGTTTATAAACAATATAGGCTCATTCTGAAAACGTAGCCCTATATATGTGTCTGGAGTAGAGATGCGCGGATGGCGGTTACAGCCGCGGAATCCCCGGATAAACCGCGGATCGTGCAGATGACGTGACGAAAAATAATATTTTAATTAAATTCGGGCGGGTGGTGGGCGGTTGTACTGTTTTGGTACACATAGCTGGCGCACCAACGAAAAAGCCTAGGACTGACTTCACAGAATGAGAGGAGGAATCGGATACACTAATTCTGGATGAAGTACAGAAGTCTTCATCTACAAACTTCCGTATAGACGGATCAGCAGAGGAAAATCTACTTTCCTTTTGGGAGAAACAAGGCAGTCATTCCCACGTCTACAGCATCTTGCCAAGAGAATTCTATGCATTCCAGCAACAAGTGCTGCGAGCGAGCGCTCCTTCAGTGCAGCAGGGCGCATTGAGGCCAGGCGCTCTCGTCTGAATGTTGAAATGATGTGTCAAAATGCGTTTTCTATTAGGCTACAATAATAATTTAAAAATTGTACAGTACGGTGCGTTTAATTTAGGCTATTTATTTATTTTTGTCCCTGTGCGCCAATTGGAGACGGAGTTCACTGCTGATATTCTGAGAGCTTTATAGGGGTGCTTCTCATTTCTTATTTGTGTCTCCTCGATTCCTTTGCTTGCTTTCTTTTCTCGTCTTTCCACCCCTATAGGATGCGAGGGAAGGACGCAAGGAAAAGACTCAAGGACCGAGGAATCGAATCAAGTGAAAAGACACGTCCTCGTATTGTTTAGCGTCACTTCAAAGCGTCAATGCTGGATTTGACTTGCACGTTTGGATTAACTGCATGAAATTAAAGTCATTCTCTATTTTCTAATAATCAATAAAGAAACATTCATTTAATAATAAAAAGGAATAAGCCATTCA